TCATACGTGCCATGGTCAAAACATCGGTTGTTTTCCCATATTAGGGGGTGGTAATCAATCCCATTACGTTTCAATTCCCAATCTGGGACGGATGACCATATCCCATATACCATGTTTTGACCATGACACATATATACATCATATATATATATATATATAAAAATTTGTAGATGGGAGAGAGGAACAACTCTATGAATCAGGGACTTCCTAATCACCACTTGGCTTGCAAAGCAGAATGATGATCCAGTTGTGCATCAAGGTCTGATAGCACCACTCGCTGACCTTAAGGGCTATGGATAAACTTCGGGGCTGTGGTCCTCTTGGCTGTTGGCAACAGTGCACTAGAGGTGAAGGACACCCAAAAATGGATCTCACCTAGACCCATTGTCATTTCGATACCTTTGACCGACCTCACAGTTGTTGGATGTACAGAACCTTTATTATCTTGAACATTTCATTGGTGGAACACATGGAAAACCTGCGAGACATGTTTTCTCCCTATAGAACCCCAAACCCCATAAACTAATCAATGGATAACAAACCCCCAGAAGCGGCACACTGCTGGTTATGATACAATTTATGGTGAATACGCGATAATAAACCATCCAAATTCTACGTACCAAGCCCAACTAGTGGTTTATTTCTTGTATGTTTCTTGTGTCTACCATTTACATTTACCCATCTTTATCATTTGTCAAATCTTATCCCCATCTACTATCCCATGATCTATTTATTATCCCATGATTTATTCTGGTATTGATTACTTACTATATCTCACGTAAAGATGATTATATTAATTATCATGTGATAAATCAGATCATCATTTAGTATTTAGATGTATTTAGTATTATCATAATTATTTTTATATATCATGGGAATTATCACAATTATTATGTATTCCACCATTTAGTTCGATGTTTTTCCCAGCAACCTCCACTTAGTTCACCATGGCCGACGAGGCCCAGACCCAGCAGACCCAATTGCTGCGAGCGCCGAACGCCGCGGCACCCGCAGCAGCCCCCGCGGCGGCACCTCTGTGGCTTGGTGCTGGAAGATTTATTGTTGATGAAATTCCTATCATGGGATTATCCCCATTATAATTCCCATTGATGATGAAAACCCACTCAATCCCATTGTTTATAATCTGTAGTGGGATTGATTGGGATTTAATCATCAATGGGAATTATAATGGAGACAATGAGGATAAAAGGATTTTCCCAAGCTGTGGAAGATGGAGATCTATTTATGTCAGATGTATATTTTGGGGTTTGTCTGAAAATAGAGTACCGCGAAATTAGATGGTTCTAATTTTTGTTCCAGATTTAAACGGATATTTCAGGGTGTACCTTATTTTCAGACACGCCCATATGTGTATATATAATTATATATATATACATATATTGTATATGATTTGTATGGAGTTAGCAGGAGAAAGACTTGGGATGAAGCTGATGAGTATTTCCACTTTTTGGGACATAGTCCTAGTTGCATTTTGACATGTTTTTCAACCTGGGAACCCGCTGGATTATCAATATTCAAGTCCAGCGCCGGGAATCTGATGGCAGGACCTATATCCCCATTTCATCCCCATATATTCATATATATATATATTCCACATTTGGGAATCTTATGGCGATTTCATCCCTAATTTTTTGCTGTGTGTGACATGAAATGAATGACATTGCCATCTCTAGTTGTTCCATCCCCATTTCTAATGCTCGCATCCTGCACCATCTGGTTTCTGCATCATTTTCCTTGCGCTGGCTGGATTCAACGGACAATTTACGGGAGAACAGCATCCCTTCTACCATCTAAATATGTAAAATTATGTAAAGATATATGATATACAGAGGGGTTTGCTTCAATTTCCAACTCCCAGATTCTTTTTTCGATTGAACTCGACTTTAATTTCGATTTTGCACCAATCCAGATACTTGAGGTCTGCCTCTGAACTTGAACACACTGGAGAGGCGCGATTCATGGTTCCAAAGTTTGTGGCAAGGTGAATTGTGAAATGGGTGTGAGTAAATTTGAAAAACCTCTGAACATGAAGTCACTATGCTCTTTTCTATCTTCTATATATGTATATATGTATACATTCTGTAATACTCTACATCCATGTTTTACTATTTGTGTGATACGTCTGTGGGAATTGTGATGACATCACAACGACTAGCCGCCATGAAGGGTGGATAATGAGGCATCCGAACCTTGCGTGGCCTAATTCAGCCCTTGCGACTTATGGCAACGAAGCCAGATAAGGGAACATCCCAACATGTCATGAGGCCGATGACGACGGTGATGGTTGAAGTGATGGTGATGTTGACGATGTGATTTGGGGGTATAGAGATATCTGGATGATGGCCACTAAAACATATGGGAATTCAATTCTCACGCGTGGGCGGTGCAACTCCACATATGTGATCATTTGCACTGATCCAAATAATCTGGGATACTGTGATGACTCCTGAGATCAATCTATGTGTGCTTGGGGATAGTACGACTAAATAACGAGGCTGGAGTGATTTGCGGGGTTGCAGCTGTCAAAGAGGTATTTCATGGTATTTCCAGTTTACTTCATTCCGGGCAGTGGGGAAAGCACAGTTTATTTTTGTACGCTTTGGTGTGGGTTCTACGGGCCAAAGTGTGTCGCCCTCGGAATCAGAAACTTGCAATGATTTCTATCCTCTTTGATTCGCTGGGATTGGTGACAATCCCAATTTTCGGCGGATGAAACCTCCAGCGCCAGCGGTTGTTGAACTTGTTTGCTTGAGCTTCTGACGATCCGCAGGTTAGAACCAAAATTCTGAGTGGTTCTATCCCCATTAAAACCCCATTAAAAGTGGTTAATATATATATATATATTCTTCATTACATCTCCGTATTACCTAGTGAAATGCACCAGTTTCCCTGGTGAAATCCGCATGTGCTGCTTAATTCCACCATAAAATGGTTGACAAGTAAGCATTCAATCAACACCATGTTTTTCATATTTGTTTCTCTGAAAACACCATGGTTGTGCTACTTTCAAATTCTAATGGATTATTAGATTATGATCCTTTTCCCATATGTTCGCTATTATTTCGTGGCTATTTATCCATCATTTACCTCATCCAGATCATCATTTTCCCATATAATTTGTGCATCATTTTCCAGTTTCCAGATGATCATTTTCCCATATTTCTTCATATATGGGTATGGATCAATACCTATGAAAATACAATTTTTAGTGGGATGAACATCCATGAATCCCAGCTATTTTGATGTGAACTACAGGGGTACAAGGTTTTGACACACTGAGACCTTGGCCCGAGCCCTGCCAGCTGGTTGGTCTGCCCTAGCTGATTCTCGGGGGGATTGCATCCATGGAGAAGTCCAAGTTGAGTTTGGAGCCAGACTGGAAACATATTCAGTCTGGTGACAAAATTGATGTCTTTGGGTTTTTAGAAGTGTGGGATCCTGAAGGATTACGGCACCAATTCAAGTCCAACATCTATGGGAGGCACTTCACAGTGCAGGGCTGTTTGTCCAACCTCCACTCCTATTCCTTCCTGAATTGCGGTGTTGATGTCAAAGATGGTAAAGTTCATTTATATGCCTCCTCAGGGTATGCACTTGGCCATAGAATTCCTGATACTGCCATGTATGGAAGTGCCATTGAAGTTTGCGCAGGCATCTCAATGATGTCCCAGGGAATCCAGTCTTGCGGGGTACGAGTCTTTGCTACCAATGACCTGCAGGAGACCAATTGCAGCTTCCAGCGGAAACATGGGGCATGTAACGTGATTCAAGGAGACATATGTGATGCACATATCATGGCACAATTGCATGCTGCACACCCGAGCCCATGCTTAGTTGCTGGAGGATTCAGTTGTCAGCCCTGGTCAGCCTTGGGGGACAAAAAAGGGATGAACGACCAAAGAGCAGGATCTCTGATTGGCACGTTGCGCACAGGGTATTTCCTGCGTGCCCATTCAATTGAGCTTGAGTGTGTTGTTGATGCAAGCCGAGACCCTCAAGTCAAGGCAGTGATCAATGAGTTCTGTCACTTGACGAAATTTCGGCAGTCAGAAGTTGAACTTGCATTGGATTCACTGATGCCCACTTACCGCAAGAGGTGGTGGTGCCTTTTGACCAATGCTACATTGCCGAGCCTTTCATTGAAGCCATTGCCCCGACTGCCACGACAGGTTGTGTTTGGTGATGTTATCCCTGTATGCCCGAATTGGCCCCATGAACACTTGAAACAACTTGCTTTGGATCAATACGAATCAGGGAAATTTCAGGCATTTGGAGGCATTGAACAAAACATGGTCAAACATGATGGTGTTTTGAAAACTGCTCTACATGGGTGGGCTAATCAACTCAATGGGTGCCCATGCAAATGCCGTCGATACCCACTGTCAGAAGAGCGCCTCCAGTCCAAAGGTATGTTTGGAGCACTCATCCGAATTGAAGGAGTTTTCAAAACATCACAGGGAGATTTGCCATGCACACGACATATGCACCCTTGGGAAATGTGTGTAGTACATGGAGGTATCCCATGTTTTGATTGGGAGCCACTACGCTTTTCCATCGCAGCACTAGGCCAAATGGCGTCACCAGTCCAATCATGCTGGATCACGGGGCAGTTGATGTCTTCTTTTGACCAGGCACGAGACATCCAACCGACATGCCCGGAGGTGCATTTGTGGAACCATTTCACCCAGGTTTTTCAGGCAGTTGCGAGGGATCAGCCATCAGTGTACAGTGCCCCGGCATTTCAGAGGTACATAGACGGCATCCGATCTACCTTGCAAGGCCAGGCCATGATTTCTTGGGGCCCTTCACACGTTTCACCCCCTGACAAAAAATGCAGAGATGAAGAAAACAGCCAGCGGACGGGACGCAAAGACCCGCAAACTGTGGTTCCTTTGATGCCGTTGCTTCAATGTTTGGGAGGAAACAAACAGCCAGCGGTGGAGACGCAAGCACTCCCCCTTCCCATGACTGTTCAGGCCATGCCAACGAGTGCTCCTGTCACTGTCGGCCCCTCCCCACATTCCCCATCGATGAAAGCACCCATTGATGCTGATGAAGGCCGACCAGTGGCCATGGGAACACATGAATCTAGCCAGGGTGTATCTGACATGAATGCTGACTCTTTGCGGGACCATGCAACCCATAAACGTCAGGTTGAAAGGGATGACATTTCAGGGGCACCCCCCAAAAAATGGAAAGATGCAGATGGCCTTCCGACCACTAGCATCGGCCGAGGGGATGCCGACACCCCACCGACACCAGTAGAAGCCACTTGCCCTGCCACAGCCAAGCCTTATCATGCCATGCCTGTGACTGCCACGACAGGTAAGCAATGTGTGCACCCTGCATTTGCCTCTATGTCAGTGTCAGAGCCAGCGCCAGTGTTGCATCCGAAAGCATCCGAGGGTCATCCACATGCCAGCCTTACTGGCCTTGCACCCCGAAATGAAAGCAGAGATGAAGAAAACAGCCAGCGGTCGGGACGCAAGAACCCGCAAACTGGGGTACCCACTAATGTTTTGGGGAAAGAGAGTCAAATTGACAAACAGCCAGCGGTGGAGACGCCAGAACTCCCCCTGCCCATGTCTTTTCAGGCCATGCCACGTGATGCTTTTGTCACTCGTGGCCCCTCCCCCCATGTCCCCATATGTGAGAGCTCAGACCTTGCAAAAATGTCGAAGCCATGTCATGCAGAAGGAACATCCGGCAATCAAGCACCAGGTATGCCGACCACAAAGGACCAACACCAAATTGCAGAAGCCAGCCCGAAACCATATGAGGATTCTACAGGTGGACTAGTGGCATTTGCGTCCGGGTCCAAACCATCCAAAGCCGAAACACACAGCCCGATCGTTGCAGCCGAGGCCAGGGAGGCTACCAAAGATGTAGCTCACCAGACCGCATCCGATGGAAAGCATGACAGTGATCCTGATGATGCCAATGATGAAGGAGATTCCCTGACCCAGGGAATGTTGCAGGTAGCTCAAGAGATCGCCAGCTCCGAAATCTTGGAGCAGAAGCACATTGAAAGCCACACCATTCAGGTCATCAGGCAAGATGACAACCAGCCATCATTCATCAAGATCGACAAGCAGGCAACGGTAGGCTCGGTCACAGTTGCTGAGGCGAACATTGGTAGCCTTGTCCAGCCGATCTGTGTCAATACTTGCGTTGGCACAAGGTATCCGACGGCAGCCATCACCAAGCCATTTGACCAGATCTTCCTAAAAGAAATGGCAAAATATGGAAGTGGTACTTCTGATGAAGCGATCAACATGCCACCTGAGTTGCTGGCAAATTCTCCCACCACTAGGATTGCTTTGTTGTACCGACAAGAAGCCTTTGTTGCTCAGGATGAAATGGAGTTCTACCTCAACATGATCACTGCCACAGGTCAAGCCAACGTAGCTCCAGTCGCGATCATTCCTCATGAGTGCGATGATGAAGAACTCATTCAGACACTCCAAAACTGGTACGCACAGGCCCTGCTTGTTCAAGATGCTCCAAGCGTCATAGTCACAGCAATTTTTGCCCATCACCACTGGTTTCCTGTAGGAATGCGTTTTGCACATGGGAAGGTGGATCTGTTTACCACACCCGGGGGACATGATTGGCTCAAAGTCATCACACAAGACATGCCCAACACATGCACTATCACCACAATCGAGAGTGCAAGCAAGTTCAACAATGACTGCGGATTTCAGTGCGTTGGATGGATCATGAGTTTTGTCTTTGATGCCACACACACCCATGATCGTGCCAAGCCAGACCCCTGAAACTGCTGCAGCATGGAGAGGATTGTTTGAACATCACCTACATGTCACAGGCAAGGCCAAAGCAGTTTCAATCCCGGCCCAGATTGCATTTGGAGGGGTAGCAGGTGGAGATATCACCCAAAGCCTTTGCCAACTATTGCATGAACATGGGGTTGCACATGATGCTGTCCAAGAAAGAGCTCAGATAGTCCTTGACAAACTGGGCCGTTCCGCAGTCATGAGAGCTCTCCGAGGCACACAGCCGTGGAAAGAGATCAAACAGCTTTCCAACCAATGCAGCCCGAAGTTGCAACTTGTCTTGCCAAGTGAACTGCAGGAAGTCATTCGTAACCGAACCAACTCCCAGCAGAAGTTTGGATCCAAGAAAGACAAGAAAAAGCATGCCCCGCACGCACAGAAACCAATCCACATTGACGCTGAGGATATAAGCATTCCTGACGGAATCTTCCAAGATGCTGATGGCAAGACCATCCAACAGCGGCCAATCAATAGCATAGGTCCTGAAGCACGAGGCATCGTAGTCGTCAAAGCCATGCAAGCAGTGCCATATCTAAGGTTTCAAAAACCGGTCTCCCAGAATGGCCTTGCCTTATTGGTGATTGACCACCAGGACCCATTGCTCCACGGGGTGGGGGAAGAAGTCCGTTTTCCTGCCAGGTATGAGAAGACAAGTGAGCCCATTTTGATGTCAGCCAAACTTGTACAGATTGGAGCCAGCATTGTCAGTCGCACAGTCCCAGCCCATGCAACTAAGGTGGACGAGGTCATGACAGCAGTCGTAAGAGTTGCAGTGTATCGAGATGAATGTGATGTCAAATGGGAAAGCATCGTTGCCAGGCCTGTGAAGCACTTAATTTCCAATGTTCAGCTTTTGCAACCAAATGGGGACATGTCACCGATCATGGATGTTTGGGATAGACAATTCCTGAATGAAAAGCTGGAACGCACAAAACCGAGTGACGCCACCATTTTCATGGCTTGCTTTAGATTGGAGGCAGCCGACATCACCGAAGCACTCAAAACCTCAGGAGATTCAGGGTGCTACCTGGAGCCGAGAAGCCACGATGGAAGATCTCCATCCACTGACTATAGAGTCATTTGGATCAACAAACAAGACAAGCAGAATGTCATGATTGCATCCCAGGCCACTAAGCAGTGGACATGCATTGTCAGATCTGGCAACCGATTTGGGCTCCGAACCCGGGTCCAAGATGCACAGGCAGTCCATGAGACACATAAGCCTCAGGTACCATTCCTCACATCAGACCAAGTCATGACATTCCATGTGGGCCCTATGCCACACGGATCCAATCGTACGGCACTCACCAAGCTGTTCCAATCGTGGTCATGGCAGGCCAGGCCATGCCAGCCGCGTAACAGAACACCTGATGGTAAAGGCGTGGTGTGGGAATGCCAAGCAATCTGCAAACCACCTTATGAGGTATACCAGCTGGATCATGCAGATGTCCTCATCACAGAAGTGCCCAAAAAAGTGGCCAGAAATGCATTGCCACAAGGAAGCATCCAAGCTTCGGCCAAAACAATGGCAGCACTGAAAGCTGCGGATAGCCAAAGCCAGGAGAATGCCGACCCATGGGAAGCCAATGATCCATGGGGAAACTATACCACCCCGACCAAGGGACCCAGAACCAGTACTCAGCAAACCGCTGTCAAACGCAACGATGACATTGAAGCCATTGCAGCCAAGGTCCAGCAGAAGCTTCAGCCAGCCTGGTCTAAGCACATCAACTACCCCAAACTCGATGCTGACCAAGACATGAACGGAGACGAGACCAGAATCCAAGTAGTTGAGGACCGCCTTGCCAAGCTGGAACAAACAGTGCAGGCTAACCAATTGCAGCAGGGAAAGCATGTCCAGGAACTTGCCTCCCAGATTGCCCAGGTCCAAAAGAACGTGGATCAACAAGGACGAGCTTTCCATGCCCACCTTGATGAGAAGCTCGACAATCAGTTGCATCAGATCGAGCAGTTGCTCGCCAAGCGCAGCCGCACTGAGTGACAAATAAGGCTGGTTCCTAGGGGAAAGGAGCCAAAGCCTCATAGTTGTTTGCCGGTCATCCGATCGAAAGCCGCCAATGTACAGCCTAAACCAGTTGCTAGGCCATGCACCAATCCGAGGCGAAGTCCCCTGAGACAGTGTAGAGGCAGCAGGTTTTCCACCATGTCGGCACTTTTGTTTAGATTCATCTTTTTGATGGTTGCACGCATTGGAGAAGCTACACATCCAGGACCAAATCCTAAGATAGGCATTGCCAACCCATGTGGTGCCTTGCACAAAGCACATTTGTTCCAGGACGTGTCCGATGAAACAGTTCCCACAGTTTGGGGCATCAGCGAAAGCCACCTCACATCCGAAGGTGTCCAAAGATTCCGTCAAGAGCTCAAGTTTCAGTCGCAGCAATGGAAGTACCTGCCAGGTGCACCAGCGCCGCCTTTGACATCAGCACCAGGTTGCATAGGAGGTAAGGCGTCAGGTGTAGGGTTTTTAACCAACTGCCCGACACGAGCGCTCCCGAATGACTGGAGTACTGAGACTTGGGAGTCAGCCAGGCTTCAAGCATGCGCTGTTAGAATACAACAGCAGTGGATAAAAATTGGGGTTGCCTATGGATTTGCCAAACAATACCACACCAGAGCAACCAGAGAAGCCACTGACCAAATCCTTGAAAATCTTACAGAAAAGATCGTTTTCCAAAGCAAAGGGTTTCGTATAATTTGTGGGGATTTCAACCAGGATGACCAGGATGCATTGGAGCAATTCACCATATGGAGAAATCATGGGTTCGTGGAGATCCAAGACATTGCTGCCCAACAATGGGGATACCAGATAAAACCCACTTGTCATCAGAAAACCCGCAAAGACCACATGTGGTTGTCACCTGAGCTCATCCCTAGACTGGTAGATGTCACAGTGGACTCTACCGTTTTTCCTGACCATGCCACAGTTGTTGGTGAATTCCTTGCGTTTGGAGCTGCGACACCTATCCCCATTTGGCGAAAACCCATGCCAATCCCTTGGGACGAAGTCGCACTAGATCACCTTGATGAGGATGCACTAATCCATGATGGGACCCAACCGCAGATCACATGCATTTTCAAGGCCCTTGAAGACACCGTTGATACCAACCTGCGTCACCAAGGAAAACCTGGATTGCTTGCCCAACAACGGGGGAGATGCCAGACCACCGAAGCGACCACTTGTAGACAAGCTGTGACCCCATGCAAGCGCTCCCGAAAAGGAGAAGTTCAGATCACATACATGGGCGAACACTTCACCCATACCAAGTGGGTTAGGCAACTTCGTAGACTCCAAAGCCTGGTGGCTTTAATGCACTCTAGGTCTACAGAGCCACACATCTCCAATGACCGCTTGGAGTTGTGGAATGCAATCAAAAATGCATCAGGGTTCCCAGGTGGTTTTGCCCAAGCTTGGAAAAATCGAGTCAACATAAGTCATGAAGCACCCTTGCACTTGCCGCGCCGACTCCCAGAAGTTGACATTGTTGATGCCATTTTCCATGACTTCCGCCAGGAGTTCCAACAACTTGAGAAAGCACTTATCCAGGCAAGATGCCAAAAAGCCAAGGAAAATAGGAGCAATGACTCGAACGCCATCTATCGAGATGTTGCCAAACCAAGATCATTGCCAGTGAGCACAGTGGTCATCAACACCAATGCCATTGTGAGTGATGTAAGCGCAGATGGTCTTATTGTGCAATATCAGCCCCCAGAGCTGGACCTTCACCAACCTGTCACCTCAGACAGGGGACCACTTGCCATTGCACACCACGAACAAGGCCAGATCACACTCGAGGCACCACAGAACATTGAACCTGGCGATCACCTTCGACAACCCAAGCTGTTGGGAGACCTTCCTGACGTGTTCAAGGCATTCCAAGACCTGTGGGAGCCTATGTGGAACAAACATGAAAACACACCAGTTGAACAGTGGTACCCGATTCTCCAACAAATCCAAAATGAGGTACCCACCCCCTCAGAGCCTTTTGACATGCAGCCGATCGCAGTAGATCAGTGGAGACGTGCCATCAAATCCAAGCCAGATCGTAGTGCAGTTGGACCAGATGGAATCCATAAGAGAGATTTGCTGCACATGCCAAAGGCACTCACCCAGAAACTTGTTGATTGCATCAACCACCTTGAGCAGACCAGTACGCCATGGCCCCGCTCAACCATGGTGGGACTGATAGCCGCAATCGAAAAACATAGCGCTGCCAAATCACCATCCGAATACCGACCAATCACAGTTCTCAGTATGATCTACCGTACATACAGTAGCATACGAACAAAACAGATACTCAGATGGATCAAGCAGTATGCACCAGAAGGACTCATGGGAAACATGCCCAACATGTCCACAACACAAGTGTGGCGAAGCTTGGCTGAACAAATCGAGCATGCTCACTACTTCGAATATGAATGGTCAGGCACAGTCACTGATGTGTGCAAATGCTTCAACACATTGCCCCGCTATGTAGTTTACTGCTGTGCCAGGCACCTTGGCCTCCCCGAGTTCTTCACCAAATCATGGATGAGGAACGTTGCACAAATCCAGCGAAGATTTGTAGTCCAAGGCAGTTGCTCACCAGCCACTTGGAGCACCACAGGATTCCCTGAGGGGGACCCGCTTAGCGTCCTCTCAATGGTCCTTGTTAACTTTGCCATGCATGCAATAGTTACCAATAAGGTGAGTCCCATTGCAGTGGTCAGCTATGTTGACAATTGGGAAGCTCAATCATCAAGTGCTCAAGCGACATGTGAAGCGTTTCAAGCGATGGACTCCTTTGCCAATGCCTTGGACATACGCCTGGACAAACCAAAGACACACTGTTGGGCCACCACTTCCCAAAGTAGGAAACACCTCAAGGTCGATGGCCATACTGTGCTACTGCAAGCCAAAGATTTGGGAGGGCACCTTAATTACAGCAAGCGAAGGTCGAACTACTCCCTGAGAGCCAGAATCACAAACACCAAGCCATTGTGGGGATGGATCAGCAGAAGCAAAGCCCCCACATACCAAAAGCTCCGTTTACTGTACACAGTAGCATGGCCAAGATGCCTCCATGGAATTGCTGCAGTCGACGTGGGGATTGATCACTTCACCACAATGAGGGCCGCAGCTATGAACGCATTGCGATGGGAAAAACATGGTTCCTCATCAATTATCCAGTTTGGATTATTCAATGAGCCCAGACATGACCCATGGTACTATGCCATCCATACCACAGTCATGCAGTTTCGACAGTACTGCCGAGTTGAAGTTGCGTTTGCAGTCCTGGATCACTTGAGCAATGATCCTCCGGTCAGACATGCCCCTGGACCTTCTGGAGTCCTCTTATCCCGATTGCACGCCATCCATTGGCGATGGGAACAGGATGGATTCATCCAAGACCATCAAGGGTTCAAGTTTAACCTGATGGATTGCCCGATCCAACTCTTGCAGCTGAGATTTGACCATGCGTGGGGAGCCATGGTAGGACATTCAATGTCTTCCAGGGCTGAGTTTGGTGGACTAGGAGACATTGATGTTGCTTGCAGCACACACACGTTCCATACCTTTTCCATCACTGAAATTGCCCTGTTGAGAGTAGCGATGAACGGCTCCTTTTACACCAGAGATAAACAATTTTCCAGTGGCAAATTTGTTTCCAAGCAATGTCCATGGTGTAATGAGCAAGACAGTGTTTTCCACCGTACCTGGGAATGTCCTCACTTTGCACATGAGAGGAGCTTGATGCAACCTAGCCACAAGGCCTACATCATGCAACAGCCGCAATGCACCTACCTCCATGGATGGTTTGTTGAATCAGCAGAGGACAAACACTACAGAGCCATGCTGCAGACGATACCTGACACAACAAGGGAGTTTGAACAACCTTCACAGTTGCCAGAAGTGATGCACATGTTCACAGATGGTAGTGGAATCTTCCCTCAACATAAAAGCCTGCGTTTGGTTTCATGGTCGGTTTGTTTGGCCACTTTCCAAGATGTAGAGTTTCTCCCCCTAGCAGCAGGAGGGGTCCCTGGAATGCTACAGACAGTTTTGCGTGCAGAACTCACAGCTGCCATTGCAGCCTGCCGAGCAGCCATCAAATTCCAAAGACCTTTCTATATTTGGACTGATTGCCAATTGGTTTTCGACCGAATCAACCAGTATGCAGGCATGAAAATGGATGCACCAACACCAAAGCAGAAAGACCATGACCTGTGGGCACAACTCCAAGCAGCTATCCGAGTTTGCTGTAAGACTAACCTTTTCCAAAAAGTTCTCAAAATCACATCCCACCTTGGGGACACACAGTTTTCCCACTTGGTAGATTCATGGGCCATTAGAGGAAATACAGCTGCGGACACCATGGCGTCCAAAGCCATTGCCTTACTGCCAGCCGGAGTTTGCCAGGCCCATAGAAGTCTCGCAAACCTTCTTGAAACCCGCTATGCAGCATGCCAAGCGATGCATAAACTGTTCGTAGCAATCGGAAAGAAGGTTGTTAAGGAAAAAGAAGAGATGAAAGCACGTGAGACAGAGGCCTGGGAAAACGTTGGACCTTCAGCTCCAACCATCTCAGATGTGATCAGTTTTCTTCCTCTGCCATCGACAGTTGTGGAACCTGAGGGTCACCAGCTTGGGGAGGGTTTTCCGCTGATTCATCAGTGGCTTTTGGAGTTTACAGGAGACGAACAATCCATTCCGATGTGGTTGTCCAGTTACCAGCTGTACGCCCACTTCCAATGGAGCACTGGACACTTGGGATTTCATTATAACCGCAAAACTAAAAAGTTTGAGACGCTTACATCACTTGGTACTGCGAAGGAATACAACTTCATTCGTGCGGCTGGATGGTTTAACGCGATGCTGAAGAGTTTTGCGAAAGCGATGAAACTCCCGTGCAACATACAATCTCGTTTGCCTTGGGGGCCGGTCTTCAAGTGCTGGCAGAGATGTCTGTTGGTTAAAGCTTCTCCCAATACAATGGATCGGGTGCACTCCCTCTTTCTGCTACGTGGCACGAGGGCAGTGCAAAAAGTGCATACTGCATTAGTGCAGTATGAACCGTTTCGACCAGGGGCTTCCTGATCTCCTCGCTGCCGTCGAATTTTGTCTCACCAGAGTTCGGACTCTCGGCAGGAGGGAAAAGGAAAAGGTTTTGACACACTGCCATATATGACTATGATATTCCAATATGTAATATAAAATATATGTAATTACTGGAATGTACACCAGTAATCTATGTAATATATCAATGGAATATGTTCCCATATTTGATGGCTATTTGATGGCCATGTACCCATCGAAGGTGGCCGCCGAGTCACTGGCCGAAGTGGCGCTGCTGCGCGCCCAGCGCCATGCCCGGGAGGCGAAACGGCGGGGTTTTTCTGGGAAAATCTATCGAAGTTGGGATTTCTATATGGAATATGTATGGAATATGGAATATGTATGGAATATGTATGGAATATGTATGGAATATGGAATATGTATGGAATATGTATGGAATATGTATGGAATATGTATGGAATATGTATGGAATATGTATGGAATATGTATGGAATATGTATGGAATATTTATTTTATTTCTGGGTCATAAATGGATTATATATATATATTAATGGGATCTGATGGGGATGTTTTCAGTGGATCTATCGAATAATCGGGGACATGGGGACAGTAGTAACAGCTCCTCCAAAGGGTGGCAAAAAATGTTTTTTTGGATGTGAAAAAGATGCTGTTTCCAGCATAGTTTCCAGGTTTCAGGGGGAACACAGTCCTGGAAACAGAATGAAGAGATGACCATTTGCTTTATTTTTAAAATTGTTATCCCCTGGTAATCAGTTATATGGCTGGAAGATCTCCCAGTGAATAATCTGGATGGATTTTCCGCCAATTTGCCTCGGGGATTTCCCAGCTATGATCAAAACAAACCCATCGGGGTTGACCATGGTCACCAGTGTAGTCGATATGTCATGATCATATACGGGATGTAAATATATTTCTATATCGATTGAATAAATATATAAATAAATAAATATATAAATAAATAAATATAAATATATATATATGTATGCGATATAAAAGCCTGAATCCACCAGGCGAAGCAGTCTGCAGCGCTGGCGCGATATGCCTATGAGCCATGGGCTGTTGGGGAGTGATTGTGTCGGTTGCATGTGGGCAGTGAAGCCTGGCAATGGAAAAAATCAAGTGCTGGGGGCTATTAGTTGTAGTATGTTATATGTAAATACAAGATGAATTCATCACATAAATCCTGGCCCAAATCCATCTACGATTGACAGGCCAGAGGCCGACAGGGCCATGGATTGCTGTTGATCTCTTCGCTCCTACATACTATCATTGTGAACACAATCATTGACCAAATGTGTATATATATATACACATACATGACTACATGATATGTATATATATATACACATACATAATTACATGATGTATATACACGTCTGGTGCACAAACCAATAATGATTCTATGGTGCTGTACAGGATATTGATCACATCACTGCTAAACACGTGATGTGCACCGTTGGTCATTATCATTATCAACGTTGCCACTGTTGCTGTTACCTTCTTGGCTATCCTCATCATTGACATTATCAATTGCCGATGTCATTTTCGTTATCAATGGCCATTACTGAGATAGTTTATCACCAATCATTTACCAACTATCAATTATTGTTGACCCAATAGTGGGATCATCCAGTACAATGGTATAGCCATTAGTAGTAACAGTCATAAGTACTAACGGAGGATACTCATCATTTGTTGATGGTTATTCTTCATTGGTTGCAATCACCAATTGGTCCATAAGGGGAAATCATCCCCAAATGGCCGTATTCCAAGTTTTTTGAAATATTCTTATCTGTCCACAATAATCACCAATCCTTAATATTTCTTAATGGCTATGATTCATTATCAATTGCCAATCATGGTTCGCCAATTGTCAACCAGTATCACCAATGGTTATGATCCATTTTCCCAAGGTAAATCATCCCCAAACTGTCTGAACTTATCCAGATTAATGTTGATTATAGTTCTGATTTAGTGAAACACCAATCATTCACAATTGAATTACTGTAACAATCATTTGGATGATGATCACCAGTTGATGATAATTGTGATCAATCAATCGATTATAATCATAATAGTTAATTGGTAATTAGTAGCAATACTTATCAATTGCTGATGGTTATTGTTGATTATAATAATCCTATTGTCATAACCACTTGTCACCATCACATTATCGGATTTCAGGATGTCAATTATAACTTATATAACCATCCAATTGTCGATTATTGGATGTAGCCAGTTGTTAAGTTACTAATGCCATGATTTTTGTGAGGAGAAGCTGGCCAAGAGCCGAGAGGAAGCCTCAGAGGCAGCAGGGCAGGCAGCCTTGGAGGACGGTGGACATGGGGTGGTGCGGCCGATGAAAATAGCTGGTTTCACCAGGAGACAGGGTGTACTTATCGTTTTTTACCCTCTGGTAATGACTAACAGTTTGCGAACTTGAAAATGGCCAGTTATAGTGGATTTTCCCATTAATAGCATGGTGATTTTCCATAGTTTTTTGTTAACGTTTACCAGAGGGTAAATTCTCCACAAACAAAAAAAGGCACATGTATAGTTTTATCCCGGCAAAGAGCATGGTACATCAGCAAACAATCAGGCTTCAATCAGGGAGGACAAGAGATATAAAGTCAGAGGAAAGAGGGTTGTGGCAAACATTGACCAGCAACAACTCCAGTTTTGAAATAAAAGGCCAGCAACTAGCTCCGGAAATAAGGGAAGCGTAAAAACCTCACCAAAACCTATCATATCATATGATTCTGGATAAACCTATCATATTTTTATCATATTGGAAAACGGTCCCTGCATCATGGGTCGCAGCGTCGCAGCGTCACCGTCGCAGGATGTGATCCTCGATGCGCGCAAGGACGCCGCTGAGGCGGTGAAGATTCGTGCAGGCAGACGATGGATGGCAACCCCTCAGATGGCAACTGGGTCCCCAGATTCGGAGATTTGGTTTCTATTCTGAACTGTTGAAACGTCATCCGGCGATTTTTGACATTGCCTATGAAGTGAAGCATGCTGTGTTTGGCCAGAAAGGCGCAGAAGTCTAAGCAAGTTGCCCCTGCGGGCCCCGTGGTTTGTTGGGATTTGTGCATGAAAGTACTCCCCTGTTTCCCCGGCCAGAGTGGTTTTACAGATTTGGGTGCCTCTCCCAGTCATATCCACACCGCTGGTTGAGCACACTCTCACTGCCTGGAAGAGGCTGGGAAGACGCAGCACGTGCGCATGCAGCACAGAAGGCCGTAGTGGGGGAACCCAGGCTTTCGCAGCTGGCTGGGAGGTGTGAAAACTACCTGGTGTAGTCAATCAAGGTGGAAGCGGGATGCCACCCACAATTTCCCATCAAGGTCGTATTCATGGCAGTTTGAACGTCGTTCTCAAAGGTTTCTTAACGGTCCATCATCCACAAATCAAGGCGGATAGCTCAACCTGTAGTTGCTGATTTCATTCAGTTTTCATATAAATCCCCATTAGATTTTGTTTTTTTTCCCAATTCCTTGTTGATGATTAGCCAATTTTCCTCTTTCTTGGATAATCGTATCCAAATTCTGTTCATTTCAGCTCCAACTCTCAATACTGATTTCCATTCTTCATGAGTTATGATACTTATGTTATACTGGTATATACTGGTGTTATCAGTTATACAATTATACAATTAAAACAAACTTGAGAAAAAATAGAAAAACATGTTAAACCTATGAAATCAGCATACATCAATTAAAACAAACTTGAAAAAAACATGTTAAACCTATGAAATCTTGACATCTGCTTGGTTTTTTCCATAACATCCCTGGCATCCAAGGTGGCCGCAGCGGTCTATAAAAAGGCCAAGCTTCGGGACCTGCAGGTGGCTGAGGCCAGTGGTCGGTTTTTCTCGTGCTGTCCATGGAAGGATGTTATCATCGTTTTCGATGATGTTTTTCCTTAAATATATGTATATATTATATTGTATATATATAATACAATATATATATATACACAATATATAATATATATATATATACACAATATAATATATATATATATGAAATCCATATGTCTCCAAGTAATTTCAATCTTTTTTGGGAGATTGCTGGATTGCGTTTTGTGGAACTAATTGGCATATGGTCATTGTGAATCATCCAATGTGTTGGGCTTATAGTGGATGAGCACATGACAATGGGGATCTGCCACATCACCGGGGGTAATTATAGAAGTGTGGAATGATGGGTAAGGGTTCAATTAGACTTGGATATATGATGATATATAAATGATATATAAATGATGTATAACTGATATATGAATGATACATATAAATGATATATAAATGATATATAAATGATATATGAATGATGATATGAATGATATATGAATGATATATGAATGATATATAAATGATATATGAATATCCAACACAATTTCTGTATCACTTTTGGTATTTGAGAACCAGCTGGGTAGTGAAATGGCAGGCCTGGGAGAAGCAAGCGACGCTGCTGCTGAAGACCAGTCGGCAGTACGAGGACTGAAAGCGATAACAACCTGAAACTTTTCCCCCGTTTTTTGAACGCTGAACACAATTTCCACATTTTTTTGGGGGGGGTTCTGCCCAGTTCCCTGTTTCTTGGAGTGTTTCTTGTTTGGTGATTTCGTCACTTGGATCATCCTCTTAACTGCTTCACTGCCAAAAAAAAGAAAGGGCTTTCAATCAACCACAATTGTTCATTCCAACAATGGGGTTTCAATGAACCAAACATGGAGTTTTTCATGGCTTTTATATGGGCTTTGTCACTATCCATCGAGATCAGCAGACGCCAGGAATACGCTGCGCGACAGGAGATGAAGCCCGGGGCGCCCAGCGACAGGGTGAGGCCTGTTACAATATCCCTGGCATACGATGGGAATATACTGGTTGAATCTGGTTGATGGTGAGTACAAACTCGTTGATTCAGTATGTTTAGCAATCCACTGGAATCCACTGCAGATCCACTGCATCCAGAGCTACCTGGCAGGAGAAAGGGGATTGTCACAGCCAATCATGTGCCATATGTTCCCATTGAGGAAAGGATTACCATAGGCCATGTACAATGTTTTGACCATGGGACATGTGGATTTGGATGTTTTTTTTTGCCAACAAAAACTACTATGCTGGTCCCACTCTCCACACTTTGATACTATCAACTCAGAACATCCACCTGGCCTTTGGTGTAACCTGGGCTGAAGAACTCCCAAAGTCCAAGCTCTTGGGATGATGAAAAAGATCGCCAACTTCAGGTCCTTTCCCGGATACCCCAGACTTTGCCCAGTCTCAATTGCTGAGGGAAAAGAAGCTGAAGCAGGCCCTCAAAAAGCTCGAAGCTCCTGAGACTTCCGCTCTCCTTCAGGCGGTGGGGTGACCTGAAACATCTGAAACCTGAAATGGGAACCCCAGTGGTTGACGGCAGTGGCGCAATGCCGGATTCGCCACCAGGGCGTGGCCGCTCCGGCACCTGCTCCGTGGTGGCCCTGGAGCACTCCATGTGGAGAGGTTTGCAAAATGACCGTTTCAGTAGGTAAGATGAGAGTAAAGTGTCAGTAAACCCTAGGTTTTTCAGAGAATTCAGCCGATATAGATTGCAAATATGGGTAAGACATGGGAGAATGCGAGGATTTGCTCGGGCAATCCAAAAGCGCACAATATTCATTGGATGACCCGCAAAAATGAACTAAATGAACTTGGACCGCTAAAAATACAATTCTCACGCAAATGTAGAGGATGGTTGAGGACGTTTTGGATGTCCCTGAAATGCTGACAACTTGTATGCTCAATATGTTCTTTTTTTTCGCGCGTGTATGTACATTTATATATGTGTATACATGTATACATGTACACATGTCGTACACACACACAACTACCCAAGTGGCTTGGAATGAACAGCAACTAGGATATGGATATCACCAACAGCATCAATATGGATCAACCACCGCGAAACTAAACATGGAATACAGGAATCTTACCAGGCATTACCAGTCGAGCATTCCCAGCGTTGTAAGATAAGAAACCAACCACAAACAAACGAAGCATGAATTTGAGTGGTGGCAAGTTAGCATCAGAGCAACCATCAAAAAGATAGAAACCTATAGAATTTCCACCATTTTACTGTAGTAGGCTTTTACTTTTCTATCTTTTCGGGGGTTGGGTTTGCGGATCCCAAGATGACCATCAGGTTCCGAGAAGCGCCAGTGCTGAGCAAGAGCCTGGAACCAACCCCTCAGGCGGAGATGGGGTGACGATTTTACGGGCTTTGCCACGGAAAATCATCATTTTTAATAGGTCAAATCATGTCAAATCACAATTGTTTGATAGGTCAATCATATAGGTATAACTATATAACAACAGTAAATTGATATTTTTTGATAGGAAAATCATCATTTTTAATAGGTCAAATAATCTACAAAAGGGATTTTCAACAGGTAAACCATGGAGCTACGTGGGCCATTTCCCAACATTACCAGAGGGTATCACCAGTTTGATCATTGGAAAATAGTGGGGATAAATATGGGGATCTAATGGGAGAATTTGCAGAGATCCCATGGGAATGGGATTATTTGCAGAGGTCATAACTTATGGGGGAAATAATCCCAACAATTTCTTATTTCAGCTTATAGTGAAACATGGCCTCTCGCTCTCTCTCTCTCTCTGTATGTATGTATGTATGTAATGTAATGTAATGTAATGTAATGTAATGTAATGTAATGTAATGTAATGTAATGTAATGTAATGTAATGTAATGTAATGTAATGTAATGTAATGTAATGTAATGTAATGTAATGTAATGTATTGTAATGTAATGTAATGTAATGTATGTATGTAATGTAATGTATTGTAATGTAATGTAATGTAATGTAATGTATGTATGTACGTATGTATGTATATATATATATGCATGTAACATTATGTATATATACATATCCTTATATATGATATGAACAAATATGATATGAACAAATATGATCAAATCGCTATATGGACCTGTGGATTTCAAAATTTGGGGCTATTCAACCGCCACCAGGTTGCACAAGCCCCAATGGCGGCCTTCGCACCTCCACCTGCGACTGCGTTGGAAAGCCTGGGGTCAACATGGGTTGAAAGATGGTTTGGAAACGTGAAAAACATGGGTAGATATCATGGGGATAAAATCTGAGGATTTGTGGATGGGGATATCTTGAAGTTACCCTCTGGTAATCAAACATGGCTAGCTCGAAAATCCTCCATCTAGTTCGCCAATTGTCTCATTAAAACCTCCAGCAATAGGGGATTTCCGAGCTAGCAGCTAGCCATGTTGAAGTACCGGACGGTACCCCCCCAAAACTCATGGTTTTTTGAAAGGTTTGGAACACCCCATGAAACTTCCTCGTGAAGTCGGGGTAAATCCTTCATTTTCGCCATGATATTCACTGCTTGGTGCCTCGCCCCACTTAGTAAGCCGCTTAGTTCACCCCAGTTACCAACTCGGATGAGCCACCAAATAGTGGCACATGATCTTAACCATTTTTTTGGCCATCCTGCAAGCCTGAAACTGACATAATCAACTTTGTTTTAAGTGCCATCGCTCACGTTTACGGGCAAACTTTGTCCGGAACTGCGTCACCTGTAGTTCAGGGAGATTTTGGTCCACCAACAGTCCTCCACAAAAAGTTGCAGTGGGTCAAAACCGAACACCGCAAAATTGAAAATTGGTGGATCAATATCCTACGAACTCTTTCCTGCTAACTTGTGCCATGTTTCTCGGCGCCGGCTTCCCGCCCATACACCAATAACCCTTGTTTTGCGAAGATTTGTCGTGTCCGAATGGCTCGGGATGCGAGTGTGTTTCTTTTGACAGTAGATAATCTCCGATGGTTTTTTTTTAGGTCAGAGGAATCACACATGACATCAAATGACATTATTTGCCGGGATTTGTTTGCCGGGATTGTTTGAAGTAGGTTGAAGCCACTGGTCATGTCATTTCCTGAGGTCTGGCATGGTCGAGGCGCTTCAGTGTGGGTCGATACTATCAATACCCCCATATTTTTCACATCTCGGCATAGTCTCAGTTCACATCGCCATGGGTATCCATGGGGGGGTATCCATGGATATCCCACATTTTGAGACCCAGTTGATCTCTGATACTCGGTCACTGCATATTGGGATATCACCAAAGGACGAAGGGGAAGTGGGATGTACAGTAACTATTCGGGGATGGTGACCACATTTTTATGGCACCCCTGCGGATCTGCTCAAGAATCAACCAAGACACCGGCGTATGATCTGCAGTTTTGTGGTTGAAGTTCTATTTCTCACATTCCATTCTTGCATATAAATCCCAAGATATTGGAAAACGATTTTTGTGGTTCCAAATTCTTGTTGGTTAAAATCAGTTAAAAATCAACTAATTGTACATCAGTTATGAATCAGATGATATGTTCAAATATATCTTCATTTTTTTGTTAGTTACTATCAGTGATAAATCAACTACAAATCACTTAAACACCAGTTAAACATCAGTTAAGTCTCCATTTTGGTTGGGTGAATCAGCTATTAATCAGCCAGAAATCAGCTAAGTCATGCTAAGTCCCTATTTTTGGTGTGTTTTCAGGCTCCACGGTTCAGTCAAAGTCCTTCCTTTGGCAAGGGCATAGCCCAAGCACCGGTGGCTGCCGCAGCCCCTCCACCAGCGTTGGAACAGCCCAGGGCTGGGGATGGATGACACCCGAAATGGAGATATGATACATATTATTATTGCAATTATCATATTGTGGGATATTGCAATATATTATGATATATAATAGTATTATGGTCATATCCCATAATATCCCACAATATCCCACAGATATGATAATATTATGGAATATTATGGATACATATTATTTTTGCAATATATTGTGATTATTGTGGGATATTTACTATCACTCCAATCGGGATATTAACCATAGTTATATACTATTATTATATATTTGTTATTATTTTGTTATTAGTACTATTGTTTCTATTATTACCATTGTGATTGTGATGATTATTGTGATTTTTACCGTTTCTTATGTTTCTTATTATCATGACTATTCTTATCATTGTGATATAGTATAGGTATATATATATATACAACCAACCTGAAACGTATGTATGTATGTATATATATATATATATATTTATACTGGTGAATATACACATATGCTATATACATAGAATATGTTGATATATTTGATAAATGATGCTTTGCATGGGAAACTTCGGCATATTTGTTACTTATTTCTGCTTCGTGAAGCAGAGAATTCCAAGCAAATCATCCAGGTTGGACATTTGGAAATTGGTTTGTCCAACAATTCGGGACCCCAACATCCAGGGTAGGCCCCATTCTCAGACACTTCTCAAATACTCCAGATTGTTGGTTATTTCATATTCTTATATCCCAGGGTTTTTTTGTAACCACTGCCAGTACATCACAATAAGATGGTCATATCCCATATCATATTCCCATTGTATCTCCAGTGTGGTTCATTATTCCCATTGTGTTCTCAAAAATCCGGATAGTTTACCATGCCGTATTTATTCCCATCATTATACGTATTCTTATGATTCATTTTCCCAAATCAAGTCTCCATAATTATACCCCAATCAGTCACCATTAATCCATACTGGATATATTCACTATTTTTCGTCCTGACCAACTATACCCATTCTTATTCCCAGTCCCCGAAATGAAATACCCAATCTACAAAACATGATACACTTGGATTTTGCTGAAGATGTTCTTCTCTGTTCTCATTGGAAAATCCACTGTTTGGGGAATCTAGAGGGAATATGTTTTATTCTTTTTTGGGGGTCCTTAAGCAAATCCAAACATAATGGGTATTCTTCGCCCAATGCAATCCCATTATTATACTTATTATCCCCATGATAATTCCCATGGTTGATGATTAAATCCCAATAAATCCCAATAAAACCCATTATAAACAATTATCACCATGGTTGATGATATAATCCCACATTGGTATCCTATGATCCATCCTATGATGCTCAGTTGGGGGGTGGAACCCCGATCACGGAACTGCAAAGGTCCGGCATCGGTCCCAGCGGCGTTTCCGGTGGCGCTGATGCCAAGGCCGACGGAAACGAGAAGAATCCTATGCAAATATACAGTCTGAGATATGTATATGCTGTATATGCTGTTTGCATTCTATCTGTCTGTAGATATGTATATGATTGTATATGTATCTATCCCATATGTCTATATACCCATGCATATCATATCTGTCTGTCTGTATGTGGTACATATATAATCACATATATATATATATAATGTCCAGATGAAGTATAGCGACCTCACCACGAGGTCACTGTAGATGAGGCTTACTAAGAAAAATCATCCGCAACATGTTTTTTTTTGGGGTTTAGGAATTATGGTAATTTGCCAGACATATGTATAAACGTGTATGTATATATCCGATAACCAACAGCTATGGGGGATTTGAGTTGCAGCGAGAAGGGGTGGGTGGACAGCTTTCCAGAAAAAAAAACGCACTTTGGGGTAGTACATATGCAGAGCTGACAATTGTGCATGGCCGGCGTATGCAAAGAGCAACGGGGTGACATAACCAGCAGAGATCTTTTAAAAACCTACCGACAACATAGCAAGCAAACATGGGGATGATTCTAGTTAAAATCTGAACATATGAAACAATAATTGGTCTGAGAAAAAAGGAGTACCAGTCCACAATAGGCTTGCAAACTTTCTTGGATTAATCCACCATACCTGTTGGGGTCAAGACCATTGTGGCTTGTGAAGTCCCCAGGCAGAGCCCATCAGCTCCGCAGCCGCACCAGCACCTGCGTGGGGGAACCCACTGGCGCTGTGAGAGTGGGTTGGTTTTCCCATGGTTTTAGATGGTTTTACCAAGAAACACACTTTTTTCCCCAGAGAATTTAGCTATAAAAACGTGGGTTTAAGATGATTTGAGGGGTTATACCCTTTGGTCACCCAATCTCGCTGGCTGGAACATCGAAGAGAATCAGCCAGTTGTAGACAAAATTACCCATTGAAGGTGGCTGTTGAAATGGAGCCTGAAACCACATTTGTAGGTGGGCAAATGCAAAATGACATGGCGGTTTGTTCCTTATTCTATCTGTGATCATGATGGAAAGCAAGGGAATTGGGCCTCCTCCAATAATCACCGCTGCGCTCTGCAATTGAGGTCTGCGGTAGAAGTGGAGGGCAGCAAGCTTGAGAGCAAGGAGGAGGGTGAAGATGAGCAGAGCAAAGAAAAGGGCAAGGAGGAAAGCAAGAAGGAAAGCAAAGAGGAAAGCAAAGAGGAAGCTAAGGAGGAAGCTAAGAAGGACAAGAGCAAAGAAGAGAAGGAGAAAAGCAAGGAGAAGAGCAAGGAGGAGAAGAGCAAGGAGGAGAAGAGCAAGGAGGAGAAGAGCAAGGAGGAGAAGAGCAAGGAGGAGAAGAGCAAGGAGGAAGGCAAGAAGGAAGGTAAAGAGGAGAAGAGCAAGGAGGAGGGCAAAGACAAAAGCAAGAAGGATGGTAAGGAGAAGAGCGAGGAGAAACGCGAAACCGAAGCAAAGGCCGTTGAAATTGGGAAAGTAGGTTACTAATCACTAATCCATACTAATCCCGTGACCCCCCCACCTTGGTACCACCTTGGAAACCTTGGTTTAGCATTGGATCTATTCATTTTTTGGGGGCCCACATCGGGGGGCATTTAATATTAGGGGATGGGATTATATCAGATTTTGGCTCTCCAAGACCCCAAGATTCCCGTCATCCAGATCTGTGTGCAGGCGGCCAGTGCGGCCGTTCCAGTTGCGCCCGCGCCCGTCGCGTTGGGGACCCAGGGCGATGTATCCACATCCACAGTTATGTGCTATTAACCACTGGTGAGAAAAACCCAATTATATCCTTATCACATCCCATATCATATCGCCATAACAAGCTACAAACAACTAGCTATGGTGTTTAATGCTGATATCCGAGAACAATATGAGGTAATCTCCCACAACATTAGCCCATAACAATAACATATAACAACTATATATATAATACAAACTACCAACTATCTCCTATTTGGTGTTTAATATCCCACAAATCCCAGCTGTTTCTCAGTGCAGCCTCCATAGTGCGATCAGGTCTCCCAGTGCAGCTTCCATCGCTTCCTCCGCCATCTTTGGCGACGCCGCAAAAACGCCACTGGTGCCCTTTGGTGGCCCGCAGGCACCGGGCACATGTTGCTCTTTTCCAGCGAAAAAACATGGATTTAATCCTCAAGGAAATAGAGATTTAATCTGAGTTTATATGATTTGATATGATTTAATCATGAAAAGACTTGGATTTTGGGATACTTTCAGCGCAATGGTTTGGAATAAGGGCATGGGTCAAAAATAAGGCCCAGGAGACCACAGGTTTTGGTCATTTCCAGATGAAACGGTGAACGATGAACCCCGAAATGGAACAACGTCTCATTATTAAACCTGCAGGTGCCAGCAGACAAGCATAAGGATTTCACCAACGAAGATAAGACAAAACCTGCAAGAGATTAGGATGAAGCTACACGCATAGTACAATCAAAAAAACGTAACATGGTCACAGAATTGGATGATCGGAAAATTTACAGGACACCCCTACATTTGATGGTAAAAACCATGGTAAAAACCCTGGTTTCCTGTAGATTTCCCCTTAAACCAATCCATTGACATGGGGAAATTTTGATGAATCGCCACGAGGACGAGAAGTCACGACTTCTCCAGGAACTGCAAGTGGCAGAGGCTCCTGTTCCGGTGGGGTCCATGAATGGTACCCGTTGGTAATATATGGGATACGAAAAATCATTTTCCCTTGTGATTTTAAGTGCTGGAGGATAGCTGGATTGCAACATATATTTTATATATAGAGAGTCCACACACACAAAGTGGATAAGCCACGAACAAAGGCGTTTCCATTTGGGACAGGTAAGGGGAATATGAGTTGATATGCAGATTGTGATTTTCATGAAATAGTGATACATTGCAGAATGATTGGGAGAACTCACTGGGTCATCCACAGATCTTCTTGGAGATGCTCCGAAGCGCGGAGAGTTGAGATGGAAGCTGAACCATGAGGTCAACAACATGATTTTCGTTCCGGGGTTGATATTCTATGCCATTCTTGGGTTCCATGCAAAAATAATGATTTTGTGAAAATTGTTTTTCCAGATCATAGGGGGGTTCTGAGCCAGAATCTCTCCGTCTATACAATAATATATACATGTGGTTCATATGAGATCGGTCATAGGTATAGCTATGTATCTCCCCATACTTTCAGACAAGCAATCTCTCACTGTCACATCACATCGCATATACCGCACATACACGTCACAAACACGTACAGACATCTCATATACGAGAGAAGACAACAGGATTGGTCAATACCTAAATGTGACCTTTTTTTGTTTCTTCTTTTTGGATGAACATCCAAAAATGGTACCAAAAAGTAGCTGCGACTTTTGATCATCCACAAGTATCAGCTACCTTGCTGTCAAAGCCATGGTGCCAGGCGCAGGTGGACGCTGGTCTGAAACTGGCTCACGAATACGAGTTGCAGGCAGCGCTAGCCATGTTTAATTACCAAAGGGTTTCATCATTTATCTGCTGATGGTGATAATACAGTTTCATATTACCAAACCAGAAGTCAAGTTTCATCATTACTCAAGTATGATGTATTACCAAAGGGTTTCATCAATTCATGTTTAATTATATGCTGATGGTTGGGCGAGGTGATAATACCACTGACTTCTGCAGTGAATTGATTCAGAAGAGTGGCTCTGTTGATTTACTTCACTACAGACAGATGTTCAGTGACGTATATATATATACATATATATATACATACATATATATATATATATACATACATATATATATATACATATATATATATACATATAAATATATATATATAAATATACATAGATGATATGGCGTGTTTTCAAATTCTTATATCATATATATATATATATGTACATATGATATTTTTATCTATATGCAGTACCTCAATTCGTGGGAATGACAGGCACACGCTGCACGGAAAGAAGCCGAGGGCATTCGTGCCGTGACGGGGTGGCGGGGGAACAAGGACCAGTTGATGGGGAAAGATGGGGTTAAGCCATTATAAATGGGGGACGATGGGGGTTTATCATGGTTTATCATGGTTTATCCAGTAAAATCGTGGATGAGACCATGACAAGACCAGAGAAACAGTGGGGATTTCACTGTTCACACTCTCCGGTAGTCAAACATGGCAATGGGAATCCGGTATGCATACCCGATCAGATTTGGAATACTGAGTGCAGTTTGGCTGATGAGATGTGTGCGCAGTGGAGAGTATTGACGGAGGAAATAAGCATCCCGAGTGGCAAGGCAATGTTTTTGATGCTTGCAACCAGTTTTACACCTGAAGTGCGCATTGCCCCCAAAGGGTTGCTGGACCACAACTTGTCCGCAACTAGTTTCTTTGAATGCGAAAATGAACTGTATAGATTTGGGTGTTTTTGATATTTGGATGGACACATGTGCCATACCTATCAAAATTCATGACCTCTGAACGGAATGATTAGTGACGGAGTCATACAAACCAGAAACCACAATGGTTGCTGGGGGTTCCTGTACCATCCTGTACCATCTTGCAGGGCAACCCAACAGGTGCCCCAAAAATGGTACAGACCAATTCCTATTTGAATGAATTTCCCAAGGTGCCAATGCCTCGTGGTACGACGGGGCGGAGGCAGCAGCAGCGGCGCATACATTGCAACTTGGCTGGAGAAGGTTCCAGCCTGCAGAGAAATCCACAGGATTGCAACCGGAAATCCCCTAGTGCAACAAGTGCAATAGGAAAAAAACAAATCTACAACATGATGGAACATTGGTCAATTGTAGATGACTATACCTCGGCTGTCATTTTCCCATTCCATCCTATTCCATCTTCCCATAGTTTATCATTTTCGGAGATAGTAATTCGATTTTCTCATCATTTTTTACCTACCAATGATTTCACATCCTTTATCATCTTTTTAGCAGCGGAGAGAACAACAGGTTAAGTTATGCTTATAAATTCTATAGATCCCCATTATCCCATGATAGTCACCATTTTTCCCCATCCGAATCCATCTCTGCTGTTCAGTCAAGCAGTCCATGCTGAGGTACGCCGAGCTGCCCAAGGGTGTGATCCCACCCCCACTGCCGGCGCTGCCATAGGCGGCTCCGTCAAAACGAGCTGCCGGAGAAAAATGGGAGAGGAGGGATGGGCGCGAGGGTTGCATCTGGTGATATATATATATATATACATATGATATATCACATATCATATATCATATATCATATATGCGACTCTGTTAGTACATAATACAGTCGAATGATATTATCGCTATCGCATATGTATGATTGTATGTATATCACAGACAAGCACATATAGTATGGTCGATATGTAAACGCTTTTGCTGGTCATAGACACTTTTTACCGCCGACCACTACCGATGAACCAACCATAGGGGATGCCAGCGGGAACAAACACAGATTATATAGTGATACTCGTACCAGAAGTTGTAGGCAACCTTTGGACAGCAGGGAATGACGGATCTCAGCTATGCATTACTAAATGCTTCGTGAACGTCACCATCACCAACAAATGCTGATATTATCAGAAGTAATTATCTCCAAATAGACGAGGTAGTGTTGATGGCAAAAACCACGACTTTTTGAACATCAGGTTATCAGTACTCAAACATCTCTTGGTTGTTTGATCCCAAGTGACTGATCTGATCATTACCTGTTTTTGTGATGGGGTGAGACCTCCAATGACCACCAATGAAAGCTCCATGATGTGCTCCAAAGAATGTCATCCTCCAAAGAATGGTTTGCAGACATTCCTTGCCTTCATTGAACAGTGCATTTCATTGCTGGTGTCAGATGTTCTTTGCTCAAGATGTGTATCAACTATTTCCAATGGCGATTTAAGCTGAACCCCAACCGGGCACTGACATTCGGCCTAAATGTCATATCATTTCTGACTTCTACATATCATATAACTCGACCTGAATGAGTCGGAGTTATTTGAGGCAAACCCGCTAGCCCTCCTCCAACCAGTAGGAACCCTAGCTTTTTCCGACATGCTGACAGATCCGGCCAGAAATATCATGAAATATCTGCATTTCTAAGGGTCCTTACGTTTTTAGCCAACCTGTCTTGAACGCCTCAAGTTCCCAGTTCCATTGCCATGGGTGCCACCCATGATGTTTCGGAAGACGAAGGTGGGTGCCATTGTCTTTTCGGGCAGTGACCATACTCAGTGGCTGGGATTCCCACATGTGTACGCATAGGAAACTCATGATCACATATCTTCACCATCATCATCGTGATCTAGTGCAAGAATCTTCATTCTTATCAGAGCCATTGTCATTCGAACCCGTAGCACTAAGTCCTGTGGAAAGATTCCCTCAGTCTTTTCATGTGGACATCGAGTGGAAACAGTAAGTTGAACATTTATCCTTGAAGGATTTTTTTGGTTTATACCCACGGATGAAGCTCCAATTTTGCAGACAACTCATGTTAAGTACCCCCAAAACATGGCTGTCGCAGAAATATTTAAGGGTTCCAGCTAGATTTCAGTGTATCCTCCATCAAACTAGGACATAATGATACACAATGGACATGGAAGACCTGCATCTGCAGGTTTTTCTCACCTTCATTGTCTGCCAGGCACGGCTCCGATTCCAGGAAAGTCCCGGTTCCTTTCTGGGTAGTTCCTAGTATATTTGTATGTATGTGTATACATATATCGATGTTTCCAGGATACATGGATGTACTGTACACAATACATATTGTATGTGTACATATACATCGATGTATTCAAGATACATGGATGTACACAGTGTATAATATATGTATATATATATACATACTATGTAGATTGTATCTACGTTCATTACACATATCCTAAATATCCATATGTCCTGAATAGATCCTGAATAGATCTATAATCCCCGGTTGAACCTTTCCCATGCCCACTGGATCCCATTGGTACCCGATGGTCAGGTGGTGAGTCATTCGCATCATGCCTGGAATGGGCCTCAGTGTGGAGAGGGTGAAGAAAGTCACCATTTGTGGGATCATTTCTGGAGGGAAATCATGGGTTTTTTTCCACTTTTTTTTACCCTTTGGTAATGACTAACATAGCTATTGAAAATGGCCATTTTTAGTGGATTTTCCCATTGAAAATTGTGATTTTCCATAGCTATGTAAACGTTTACCAGAGGGTACATCTATGTCAGTGTACTTTCGGGAAACAACAATGGTGATTTGATGCCATCATTGGGATCATATGATGTTGACCAGCAAGAATGGTATAAGAATCGTGATTTGTCATCTGTCAAACTATGTGGGTTTAAACCAGCAACATGGTGATTTACTCCATAAAAAAAACAATGGATATCATGATTGGTGGTTCTTCTCAACTTCTCGGTGACGATTACACGTATGATGGGATACAAAACCGTGGTTGATTAGTGATTTAACGGGCACTTCTCCATGATTTATGTAGTCAGATTTTATCCCACCAACAACGGGATAGTTGATTGATAAATGATGATGGTCGATTGATGATTGTGTTTGGGTTGTACTCCCCTTCAATTGTTTTGATCATCTCAGACCCATTTTCTTTGTCTTGGCTCAGTTGAGGATGGTGAAATGGGGACATTGCCTTTCGATCATGCCCTTGAACCATGGCAAGGGGCCCCCCTAAAATCGAGTTTGCAACAGAACGCTTCAGAATTTGGATCATGGAGGATTTTGGTGTGAACTGCTGTCCTATGAGGATTACTTGGCATTTGATATTTGAGCCTTGCAGAGCCAAAGCGAAAGAGCCTCTATAACTGAGAAATTTTCTGGGTCATCAATGATATGACGGATTTTTGCAGCTTAGCCATACTTGGGCTCCACTTCCCGCCATTTTCGCAGGTTGGCACCGGGTGTGAAGGCACCGCTAGACATGGGTAGGTTATGCTGGAGATTGCACAAGTGGAAAAAACTGAAGTTGAAAAGTCAGTTTGATTTTCCTGATGTTTATTTCAGGAGAAGTTGCATGTGTTTTTTTTGAATCAGTATACCCATGCCTTTCCAGACAGCCAGTTTTTTTTTTTAGTACATGGATTATATTATATGGATGTATATGTGTTGAACAATTGAACATGTTGTTTTGACATTTTGGTTGATTTTTCAAGGGGCTTTGGGTAGTGCAGCCCTGTCTAATTTTGGTCCAGCAAAAGACCACACCGATGTTTGGAGGGTTTTTGGAGATGGCAGCATGCTGAATGTGAATGGCATCATGGCTATGCGGCCACAAAATTTTCCCCTGGATGTCTCTCGGCATGTGGTTTTTCAGGTTGGTTATTTATTGCAATTCATCCAAATCTATCGTTGGTTATATACATCCAACAATTATGCTGTATCGGACTGTATCGCTGCTTTTTTAACCCCCAATATATCCAACAATTTTTCACGATACAACTATATATCCAACTATATCCCCAATATATCCAACTATATCCCCAATATATCCAACTATATCCCCGATGTATCCAACTATATCCCCAATATATCCAACTATATCCCCAATATATCCAACTATATCCCCAATATATCCAACTATATCCCCAACATATCCTACTATATCCCCAATATATCCAACTATATCCCCAATATATCCAAGTATATCCCCAATATATCCAAGTATATCCCCAATATATCCAACTATATCCCCAATATATCCAACTATATCCCCAATATATCCAACTATATCCCCAATATATCCAACTATATCCCCAATATATCCAGCTATATCCCCAATATATCCAGCTATATCCCCAATATATCCAACTATATCCCCAATATATCCAACTATATCCCCAATATATCCAACTATATCCCCAATATATCCAAGTATATCCCCAATATATCCAACTATATCCCCAATATATCCAAGTATATCCCCAATATATCCAACTATATCCCCAATATATCCAACTATATCCCCAATATATCCAACTATATCCCCAATATATCCAACTATATCCCCAATATATCCAACTATATCCCCAATATATCCAACTATATCCCCAATATATCCAGCTATATCCCCAATATATCCAGCTATATCCCCAATATATCCAGCTATATCCCCAATATATCCAACTATATCCCCAATATATCCAACTATATCCCCAATATATCCAAGTATATCCCCAATATATCCAAGTATATCCCCAATATATCCAAGTATATCCCCAATATATCCAAGTATATCCCCAATATATCCAACTATATCCCCAATATATCCAACTATATACCCAATATATCCAACTATATCCCCAATATATCCAACTATATCCCCAATATATCCAAGTATATCCCCAATATATCCAACTATATCCCCAATATATCCAAGTATATCCCCAATATATCCAACTATATCCCCAATATATATCCCCAATATATCCAACTATATCCCCAATATATCCAACTATATCCCCAATATATCCAACTATATCCCCAATATATCCAACTATATCCCCAATATATCCAACTATATCCCCAATATATCCAACTATATCCCCAATATATCCAACTATATCCCCAATATATCCAACTATATCCCCAATATATCCAACTATATCCCCAATATATCCAACTATATCCCCAATATATCCAACTATATCCCCAATATATCCAACTATATCCCCAATATATCCAACTATATCCCCAATATATCCAACTATATCCCCAATATATCCAACTATATCCCCAATATATCCAACTATATCCCCAATATATCCAACTATATCCCCAATACCCAATATATCCAACTATATCCCCAATATATCCAACTATATCCCCAATATATCCAACTATATCCCCAATATATCCAACTATATCCCCAATATATCCAACTATATCCCCAATGTATTATATCCAAATTATATCTAACATTTTTTCACTTTATAGGACTGACATCGACATTGCTTCAGGGGCTCAGCCATCGATGCCTTCGGGGCATAGGTGCACCGTATCGGGCCTGGGTGGAACGTTTTGGAACGATGGTGGTGTCCAATACCATTGGGGATACAGCATATGTCCATTTGAGTAGGGGAAGAACCATAAAATGAACTTTTAAATAGGGGAAATGATATATTCTGATTATTGGG